CTATTTTTGAAGTTGATCGGTGAAAGAACGCGGTTCGAGGAAAATTGAAAGATGACGTTCCGGATATGTAGTTATCGAACTTCAAAAGTGAATGTTCACGTGGTCGCGACTTCGACGATGATCGCAGAGAATGTACACTCAAAAACACAGACCGTATTCAGTTTTGTCGAAGATGAACGTCTTTACTTTTTCGCACGGGTCGCGTAGCTCGTTGTGTGTGTTTTACGTTTTCGTTCAGTAGTGACAGAATGATACCATAAACGTGCCCCTCATGATCATAGCCTTTGTACATACCGTCATATAGCACGTAACGGATCTTCTCGCTCGTTCCTCCGACTATGCATGCGAGCTCGTACGGATTTTTTTTGAGAACGTTCCCGAAGAGGTCATCGAAGTAAATCCTCGGTGAGACTCGCTCATCCCACCCTTACTTATAATTCGCCGGTATCGCGCGAACGAGATCCTTCCGTTTCTGAAAGCTAGAAACTCTCCCTCTCCAGTTGTCTAATTTGAAATTTAATTTTAGAGAACGTCCGAGAAATCACAAGGATCGTCGTTCGCGCACTCGCGCAATCCTCCCTCGTACATACCAGCAGGTCACACACCAAGCCATTTTTCATCTTTCATCTTTCGTCAAATCATACACTCCTTGTCCCGTCAACTGGCCGCAGTTACTTAAACGAATCTGTCTCTCCTGCAGAACATTTCTTTTAAATCGTATTCCCGTGATTCCGGCCATGGTGGCTCCGAGCAAGAGGACTCGCCTAGGACGCACAACACACTGACCCTGGGACACTCCGGACGAAATCGCGGCGCGACGAGAGGAATGAACGAGAGCAACGAGATCAGCGGCAACAGGACCACGGGGGGCTGCGGCGGTGGCCGAAGGATCGCGATGCCGTACAAGCATAAATACACGGAGATCATGGACGGTCGTGCCAACGGACCGGGACATCATCAGCTGCATGCCCATCACGGTCAACACGTGCACCTTCCGCGGGATCTAACGAACGAGGACGAACCAGTTTACGAAGAGATCGAGCGTGGTGGCGGTGGCGGTGGCGGAGGCGGAGGCGGTGGAGGCGGCGAAATCCAAGTGTCGGACATGTCTGACGAGGACGGCAGAAGACAGAGCGACATGAGCAGACAATCGTCGAGAAGTTACGGAGATCACAGACCGCTGATACCATACTCGCCAGCCACCGACAGAAATCTGGTGCATTACGGGCAAACGTTAACGGACCGCGGCGGCGGCGGCGGCGGTGGCGGTGGCGGTGGCGGTGGCGG